ACCAGGAGCAATTTTTTTTAGCCTATATTCAGGTTTATTAATTGAAAAATATATTTGTTGGCCTTTGTTATTGACAATGAATGTTTTTTACAGGGCATTCATGTCTCCGTTTCTTTACCCTTGCCTTTTCCAGCCAGTTTTTCTCTCTTGTTCACCAACAGCCTCCCTAACACGGCCACACTGTCTTGTTGCACTAGCAACTTCATGACACCTTCCCCTCAGCCTTAAGTAACACAGAGCCTCATTCAGCAATTTCATGAGCTGAACCATTATGCTGTTACTCAGACATGCTCAGCCGGTATATGGAAAGGTGCTGAAGCTCTGCACAGTGCCTGGAACAGGGTATCATCAAAACCCACAGCAACCTATGTTATTCTCCAAAGTGTTCAGAAGACTAAGACACAGCAAAAATGACCCAATACAACTAGCTGCTCTGATTTTTCTGGAGATTTATGACCACCTGAAAGAAAAGGGGGGCAAAGGTTTATTTGTTAGCCATTAACTCAAAGAGTCATTTTTTGCTTTGGAGTCATTCTTTAGGGTACACAAAGGAAGGAATGCTAAATATGCATGAATGCATTTAAAAACTAGGCAAAAGCACCCATTTCATAATTTTCAGCTTTGCCACTCCTCATGTACTAACACTCATCTTCCCAATCTGCAGAATGACACACATTTATGTGGTATTTTATCAGTACTAAGCATTATGAAAAGAGTAAGATTTTATGCAGGAACTGGGTTAGTATAAATCATAAAAGTGGACACAGTATCTTTGTCCAAAACAGAGATATTTCAATTCCATGAGGCAGTAAGAATGCAAAAGGCATGTGGCAACACTGGCTACGTATATGTTAGAAAGTATTACAGACAAATAGGAACTGGTCTATAGAACAAAATAGAACAAAATTTAGTTCTGAGGATGTGTAAAAATTTCAGATTTTTCTGTTTCTTTGTCTAAACTTCAGATTAGCTCTGCTTTGCTGTCTGGTCCTGAAGCTTACTTGCACCTGGACTGCATTCAAGACTCCCTAAGCACATCCTCCAGTTTAGGTTCATCAAAAAAGCAACAATTTCATACATACCAGGCCTACTGCTCAACCAAAACCAGCCAAAGGGGACTGGTTGGGAAATCCACTTCAGAAGAGCACTCCTGGTCTGAATTAAAACATGAATATAGATGCACTTGTTGAGACACTCATTTTTTGTGGTCCATGAAGTTTTGACAAATGAGCATATCTTCGTAATAACCGCATGGAGCTCATCACAGGAATAGAATTTGTATTTTTATTGTAGCTACAAAAGACAGGAACTAAAACTCCCCAGGACTTCAATCACATATATGTTGAATTTTTTCCTTCCACAGAATGCTAAATTATTTTCAGCCTTAGCTTAATCACAGTTAACCATCTCAGCAGGTGCACCTCCACTGCAACTGGCTTATCCCCTCTTTCCAAGATCTTGCGATTTTTATTGTCAAAAAGTATGCCAAATTGCACACGTTAGTTACTCATAGGCCTCGAGTACAGGGCATGGGATCCCAGGCATAGCCAGCACACCAGAGATGCCAGCATTCCTAGTCACAACCAGCCCACGCTACTCGACTGAAGGATAAGGTCCTGCTTTCACCCACGTTCCAGGACACTCTGGATGCACAGGAGAGGGGACTCGAGCAACACCAGCACCAGGGATCAGGCAACCCCCTTGCTCTAAGTGAGATGTAGACATCCCATAAGTCAGTTCTAGTGTGTAACTTGCCATTTTCAGCTTCAAAGACAAGTTAGCAAAATGGCTGTTGTTTTGAAAGCGTTACAAAGTACACACACACACACACAAAAATTAAAACTTCAAAAAAGAATTATGACAGGGAACAGATATTCCTCCATGAGCTATTAGTATGAATTCATCCCAACAAACCATTTTAATCACCATTATGATTTAGCAGCATCAGATTGCTCAGTGACATGATCTTGGCAGTATCAGCCCAGTCTGTAGACGAGAAACCAACATCATCAAAGTCACCATTGAAGTTAGCATTAATTTGCAACATTGCAGAAAAGGCCTGCAGACAGGAAAAAGGATGAAAGTCACAAAAAGAGGGACATCCTATCATACACGCAGATGTGGTCCCTGAGATCTTCCTCCTGAGACACACTGACAGAAACAGGGAGAAAAAATTGCCACTTGTGCAATAAAAATGGTGTACGCTCCTCCAACCTCACAACTGGGAACTTTAAAGAATATCAGATTGAGAGCCTTCCACTCTCATGAAACCAATCGACATATTTCTGCCTGATGTAAGTTTTAACATTTAAACAAGTCTAAACGGCATTTGTTTTAAAGGATACTAAAGAAAATAGTAGGAAACAACCAAAACAATGTTAGTGACCTGTTACATTTCAACAAGTGCTGAACTACAAAATCTTCAGTCAATCCCTTCAATTTTTTACAAGAATGAACTCTTAAATATTTATCCTCTGATATTAAAGTGGGATTTTAAATTTTTGAATGGAAGAAATTAGTGCCTTTTCCTCTTGCTATATAAAATATCACCTTGTATATTCCAACAAGGCAGCTAGCAAAAAATTTTGAGAAGAACCACAAGACATAAATGTACCAGGGTAACTGAGAACAGAAAGACGCAGATACATCTCTCTGACAACCACTGTTTTTATTCTTTCTTTCACTGACGAAACTAGAGCAATTGAAAGAGTTATAAAACAGTGCATGTGATAGTTGCTTGTTGAAATGGAGTCACACAAAAATGAACTTGTATTTTATTATTATTTTAATAAATACATAATCTAGCTGCTTTATTTAGATAAGACATGAAATAGAATGTGCTGGATCCAGTGTAATTACTTCTATTGACACAACCTGCTTATGATTTTTGGTGCTATATGAGAGTAAATCCCTGCCATCTAATGCCAACAGGAGATCTAATCTTGACTGCTTATAAAAGGGAGGTACTATACAACTACTGAGGCAAAGGAAACAGGACCATTATTTCCATTAATGTTCAGTATTTTACATAAACTGTTATAATGCCAATGATACTCTTGGCAAAATGTAAAGCCTAATTTCTGACCAGAAATTATATTGCTTTAAAATTAACAGTACAACATCAAAACAGGTACCAAAGCAAAACCCAGCAGATTAACAGTGTATGAAATTTTATGTTGAAAGGACAAGTGACCATGGCTGTTTCTTGCTGCTAGTGGAAATGAGGACAGACTTTCCTTTGTAACCGAATCAGTAACTTTCCTGTAACCGAATCAGGAAGCCTGTCTGGGGAAGGTGCATAGCAATACCCACCCCAAACACAGCCAACAGATTAATAGAGGGTGAGCTTTCTGTTAAGGCTGTCTTTAATTAATTGGCTCATCCACAAGATGAGGTAAAAAACACTTTTAGAGAGGACAAATCTGCATTAGTTTCTTTGAAGAATTATTTTCAACTGCTTCAGAAAAAAAACCCCACAACCTCTAGAAATATTTTTATAAACTACATAGGTGTACTCACTAGTCACTTTTTTAGAAACTTTCATGCATGGAAGGCATTGCCTTGGCTGCGATCATTTGCAACAATAACAATAAACTTAGTTCAAGAAATTTCTTAAATACAATAAAATTTTAAAACATTCACTTTATCTCAGTCTAAACAACGAGTCTGTTGGAAAAAATGCACAAAATTCATTCAGCACTTCAAGAATTAGGGATATCATTTTGAAGAGATGCATCATATTTTTCATAAATAATCTGGTGATACATTTCAGTCCTTTAACTATAAAACTCATTGTTATTATAGAGGCACAATGGGTAGCTTTTTAAAAAGGATGATTCTTTCACCCTTTTTTTTTCCTGCTTATTACACTCAAAAAAGTCTCCCATGCTACTATTTCCAATGTATTAATGAAACAGAATCTTAATTGAACGTTGTCAAATCTTCATATTTCTACAGCTTTTTTGAAAACACCACCTCAGAAACAATATGCAGAACTGCATGCTACAAATTTGTCAATTCATAACATTCTAAGATTTGTTTTTGCAGTATGATCTGCATATATGATATACTCTGTTTCTGCTGGAAGGCAGGAAATATGATCAATCTTTGGAAAACATATTTAAAGTCAGTTATGAAAAAAGTATTTAAAAAAAGAATCCAAAATAAAACATGTCCTCATCAAATAGCACCAGGGTTAGGTTTTTTTACCTCTGTTCTTCAGAGGTACTTTTTCAGCCAAAACAATTGCTAGTGCTTTGAACTGGTATAGACAAAGCGTGATCAGTAGGTCCATCCAGATTTTCTTAATTCCAGGCCTACCATGTGACATTAGAGCTAGGAAACCGTCTTTTGAAACCATTCCCTGCAGCTGCACCATAAGCTGAGTCTCTGCCAGGAAAAGCTGTAAATCTAGGACCCACCTCCCCACCCCTGACCGGACAGAACAAATTTCAAAAATCAGTGAAAAGCATCCATTCATCCTTCTTATTTGACCATATCAGCCCTGTAACCTGTCCTCAAAAAAAGTAAATTATGGAAACACAGCAATGTAACCAACTTAGCACACAACAAATAAAATGGGGATGCAAAGCGATAATGGTATCTCAAAGGGCAGAAGGAATTCAGAGTTGACCTCTGAAGAGAATATGTAACTTCACATCCAGATTTGGTTCTTGACAGTTCTAGAAGACACCTCTTATTTCTCTGTCAGCCTGTGATTAAATGTGGCTTCACATCTATCTTACTTTTGTATGCGCATGTACAAATATGTATTGGAAAAATATTTGGGAGGAAAATGATAGTTGACATAGAGCAATAATCCTCTGGCAAAACATTTTACAGAAGATGACAGAAAGCAGGCAGCACAAATAAACCTCTGGAGAAGATGTCATGGAAAAATGAGAAAACATAGTCAAAGTAAATCAGCTAATTAAGGCACTGGTATAACACATTTGAATGACTAGACTTTAAAATAAACACAGATGAGATCATAAACTTACAGGTGTTGTCAAGGTACTGTAAGGATGAAAGGAAAAGCCTCTGTGACTACGGATGACTGAGTTGTGTGATCAGTTGAAGAGAGCAGTATGAATTCAAAGTAAAAATGCTCCAGGACAAAAAAGGGGACCTATGAGGAGAAGAAAGGAGAAAATGTTAAAAAAAAAAACAACCAAAAAACAAACCACAACAAAACCCCAAAAAAACAAGGTAAGAATTGTATGTAGTCTAGCATTAACCAGACAAATTTTCTGCAGAGTTAAACTACAAGAGGAAAAACACAATGACTTTCTAAGAGGATCAAATGCTCAAACAGCATCTGTGTCAAGTGCTGAGAATCTATCAGTCTTACCATAAGAAAAAATGTACCATGGACACTTACTAAATTCCAAATACTGCAGTGCAAAGCTGTAACACCTTTAATAGTATAGTAACAGTATAAAAACTGCCTCTGGAGAGGCTAGAAAGTAAGAAAAGTTGGAAATGAACAATCAGATTTTACAGTTTGCTTGGATAGCAACTAAGTACCATATTAAGATTTAAAACTAATGAGAGGAGTGATGCATACTAGAAAAATCAGATTTATTTTAGAGCATCTGTGCACCCAGAGAGGATGCTGAGCCCTGTCAGAGCCCTGACAGTGACACGGGACACATTTTTTCACCATACTCTGGGAGTATGGTCTCTTCACCATACTCTTTAAGCAGCTATACAATAAGGATGATGACACTGACATCTTTTAGGAAGCACACTGAGATCTATTAATTAAACAAGATAGACAAGAATTAAGCATTAATAGTATTTTCATCAAGCCAAAGACAGGATAAGCAGAAGAGTCTAAGAAATATCCTATAGCAAAAAAAAAGTTAAAGGGAAAGCAAGATTTACATACTGCATTTGTGTGTGAGATTTTCATTTAGTTACAAACAATTTCCAAGATTACTACAGCTGAAAGGAGTTGAGAGTAAAGAAAGAAACCCTCATTTGTTTATTTTGTTTAAAGTAAACAGTTTGCTCAACTTCCTTGAAATATTGCCTTGAGTATTTATATTTATTTCTTCCTGCAACAGATGAATAATACTTTGAGGAGAAAAATGTTGTAAACCCATAACATCTGCAAAGATTCTAGGCACAGACTAGCATCTGAAATAAATTTTATTGTATGACTAACTTACTAGATCATATATTCCCTGTAAAGCACAAAACACAAGTTTAACTTTGTTTTTGCTATGTACAAGATACTTACCATAATTCTTGACTAACAGGTGCTAAGTGCTACTTACCTGCAAAGAAACCAAACAAACAGGGAGTTACTTAACAGCACAATAAACTGCATAGAAGAGTGGATATCACAGAATCACAGAATCATCAAGGTTGGAAAGGACCTTGAAGATCACCCAGTCCAACTGTTAACCTAACACTGACAGTTCCCAACTACACCATATCCCTCAGCGCTATGTCGACCCAACTCTTAAACACCTCCAGGGATGGGGACTCCACCACCTCCCTGGGCAGCCCATTCCAACGCCTAACAACCCCTTCTGGAAAGAAATACTTCATGATATATCTAGTCTAAACCTTCCCTGGTGCAACTTGAGGACATTACCTCTTGTTCTACTGGTTATTATACTTCATTAAAGAGACTCATCCCCAGCTCTCTGCAACCTCCTTTCAGGTAGTTGTAGGGGGTGATGAATATATATATATATGGATATAATTTAGGTGGCTTGGTAGTTAATCGTTCCTGGGTTTAATACCAGAGTTAGATAGAAGAATGGAGTGAACCAATAATTTAGTAAAAAAGAAATATAAATTACAATCTTCAGGTTGAATAATGTGATGGAATGTGCAAAGCTCAGTCTCAGCAAAAACACCTTATGACTTGAACCTCACTGTCGCCAAGGTGATAGTGAGACTGCCGAGACAAAGGTCTCGTACAAAGACATCGCTGCTCTAACTCTGAGAATCCCTTCTGTCCCACCTGAGATGAGCCTCTGTAACCCAGGATACAAGCTCCTTATGAGATAAAATCTCCAACATGTTCCTCTTCCAGACTAAATTCACAGGAACCATGAACCAATATTGTTTATATTACACAGAATTTCACAACTTAAATAAATCCATTAGCAATCTCCACTAAGATGCTGCACATGTTCACTGAGAGTTGGGTAAGAGTACTCCCATTACTGGATCTCACATTGTCATGTCTTAGCCTCATTTTTCTTTCAAAACTTTTCTCCTTCTGAAAACTACAAATGTATCATCTGTTATTATCTTTGTTTCTATCAAAGGTGACAAATTTATGAGGTTGTATGTCATTAACAGCAGTGTCTTTAATCAAACAATGATAGAAACGTTGGTTGGAAGGAACCTCTGGGTCCAAATCTGGTCCAATTTCCTCTATCAAGAGTGCATTTTCATAAAATTAGATAAATTCTTGAGTTTAGTGTTCTTTGAAATAGAAATATCAAACAAGAAGTTAAATAAAGGAAAAACCCATGTTTCATAAGTGAAATATTAAACAGTTCTAAATATGTACTACAGCCAAACATTGCATCTTTTCCAGCAGACACTCTATTATTATGGTACATAGAGATACAAAGGATTGACGTTAATGGAGTTAACAGGTTGTCCATTTAAACCCAAAGTTTGCAGAAGACTGTCTGAATTCTCTTTGGCATGTAGCATCTTTGGCACTGTTATACCAAATATTGTGTCATATATCCCTTAAATAAAAAATATATATGAAGATGCCACGATTATTTAATATATCTACAGTCCATGAATGTATTCACATTTTTTCATTCACATTTTTACAACGTATACACAATGTCCAAATCCTAAATTCATAAACCAAATCCTAAATTCATAAACCCACCGTGTATTCATATTGGGTTCCTGGCAGCTTCTACAACAGAGAAGACTGACAAGTGGACCAGAAGATCATTTTGAAATATCATCTATTACAATCCACCACAGCAATGTCTTTTGTTTTGAAGATTTAAAGTAGAATAAAAATTTGAACACTGAAACTTGTCAAAAACTAACTAAATAAATAAAAACCTTCTTCAGGGATGAAGACTGAAGCAGCAGTGCAGCCTTAAAAATGGCAAGACATTCCCTCTGATAACTCTGTCATTGACCATGCCACAATTCTTATTAAATGCATTTCATCTCAGGTCAAAATTTTAAACAGGTCTCATGTGCAGTCTAAATAAATCCAGAAAAGGCTCATAAGTATGTTCTTCAAGACAATTTTGTTAATCAATCATGCTAAAAGTATAGAAGAATGACAATCTTTAGATTTCTGACTATAAGCCCAACAGTTATTTCTATTATCTAGTGATCAAGCCCAGTGATGTAAGGAGATTAATGCAAGACACTATTCACAACATTATGACACACTATAATTATCTCTGTGGATGCCAGAAACAATTTTGACCACTGTGATAGACTGGGTACTATCCAGAAGAAACAGATTTTAAAATAAATGGGTACAAGTACACTGTACTTTGATTGCACTGACAAGAACTTGAAGGAAGCCAAGGACAGCTGGAGCTGGGGAAAAGATGATGCCAATTTAATCTTTAAGATTGACAGCTCTGTTTGGGACAAGGAAAGCTGAGCGGATGTTATTCAGCAAGGGAAAATCACTGTGGAGGAAGAAAAGCTGTAGGAGTAATATATTAAAAATAAATATGGAACTTGAGGGCACGTTTAATGTAAAGCAAGTCAAATGCTTTGCTAAAAAATGTGGCCTTTGTGCTTTTCTGAAACTATTACATGCTGAAAATGTGGCCTTTGTACTTTTCCGAAACTATTACCATCATTTTTTTGTTGTTGTTGTTCCCTCAAGCTACGTCCCTCAGCAGACATTAAAATAGTTGTAAGAGTTAATTAGTATTCCAAAACACATTTTACCATGAGAAATAGAAACAAATAGAATGTGCCCTGAAGAGCTCAGCCTCACTGCTCTGGGACAAACCCTGCCCCCAACACCAGCCTTGCGCAAACCCCTTCCCGAGGCCTTGCACTGCTGTGACTTCAGGGGCACAATGCAACACTGGTGCCCTCTCCTGCACAAGTGCGCCCCTGGGGAAACCCAAGAAAAGTGACAGCAAGGGATGAAGGCTCTGGGTGGCACAGACACACAGGTCTGCAGTCCTTGTCACCGGGAGTGATGAGCACCTGCTGAGTCTTCAGGAAACTGGAAAAATTTGAACTCACAAACCAGTTGGAGGGAAGCTAGGAAAAGCTTCTCTAATACAGTGAATTCTGGAAACAACTGTAATTCCCTAGGAGAGACAGCTCTGGTGTTTGCAGAAGGCCATTACTTACATGCTGTTTGTAAATACTTCTGCCCCAAGGTGCACCACTTCAAGGAATAACCAAGACTCTTTGAATCTTATGCATCTTCTCCAACAGAAAGCTGACTGGCAGATCCGCATCTGCCCCTACTCCACATATGCAATTAAGTAGACTTGATTTGGCTTCTCAACCTTCCCAGACCTGCCTTTTCATAGCACCTCATATCCTGTTCTCCCCTCCTGCACACAACAAGTTCTGCTTCAAGCTGGCCATGGAAACATGGCCAGGATTTGTCCTCAATAATTTCCTCACCCAAAAATTCCATTTATGCAACAGTTGCTGCCTTCATACAATGACAATAAAAAGGCACCAAAGAGTGCAATCTGATGCCATATCCCTGAGGATCACTTAAATGACTGGCTTGAATTCTACCATACACATTTCCCTGCAGAAAGCAGAAATATTTTACTCTCAATGATTTTTAGAGAGCTGTTGAAAAGCCATTGCCAACCTCAGGAAATCAGCAAAAGTTATATTTTTACTGGGTTTAGAAAGAGGGGAAAACAACACAGAGACTGCAGGTGTTCTTGGTTTGCTTTTTGAAGTCGTTAATTCATCAAATGGCTAGTTCATCATATAAACATCTGAGATAGCTGAACGAGGCTACAAGATGCAAGAATGTGCTTTTGGTCAACAGGCTATAATTCATTTGTCACCAACAAGAAATGGGAGGGTTGACCTACATTTTGAACAGGCATGGGAAACCCACACTGCTACAGGTTTCTAAATTCACAAAGGAGGGACTCCAGCATCCAGGTTTTTATATATAGATGTTAATCACATCAGCAATGTCAAGGTCCACTGAGGTAAAAAGGAAAAGAGATGTTTCTGTTTGCACGATAACATGTATCTGCAGAAAAGCTTTTCCTGTAAAGGATAAGGAGCATACCTTTAACTCTCCTTCGAAATTCTCACTGTCCTCTACTGTAATCCCAATAGAAATCTGCAATATTTGGTCTTTAACAAAAATGTCTTATTAAAACTAACACCCTTTATTAAGCCCAGAAGAGATCCCATGAGCTGGTTTGTCCCATCTATGCCCAGATAGAAGGATGGACAACAAATATAAGTACTTTAAGGTTAAATTCTGTATTCATATGTATTTCTATAATGTGTATATGTTATTTCTCTGATAGGATATTGTATTTCTGCTTCACAAACACACCTCATATATGATATAACAGATCTACTTGGCTACATCTAAATTTAATACACACTAATAAAAGTTACTGCCTGAAAAGTTAGCTTTTGTTCACTTTTGAAACATAGCATTGCAGCTTTCAAAGGTATTTAAGATGCACCTAATTTCAAAAATGTTACATACTGTGACCTAATCAAAAGCAAACTTTCACTGATTTTTAAATGGCATTTGGATCAAGTTTTTGGTGCTCAAGGAAAGCATTTTTTTCTGCCACACTTCATTGCACTGAAAAATTATGAATTTGGTTTTGGAACTCTTGAAAGTAATTTTTCAAAAATAATAATAAAAAATGCAGTATTTAGGTGGTCCCCAAAACATAAACATCAATAAACTTGCATTTGCTAAGTCAGTGTTTCAGTATGAGTCAGAATTTATTATCAAATAACACCAATCATTTTGTTCTCTCCATCCATAAACTGCGAACGGCAACTGTTATCCAGGTATTGGTAAAAGATAAAAAGGCTTATATCAAACCTAACGACATTCATGATCAACAGGATTAAAAATTAAAAACTGTAAGTTTAACAGATCTCAGTGTACTCCCATTACACCTGAACACTTACCATAACAATGCACTTCAGTTCTTTTCTAAAAATCCTTCAATTTTTTTACATTATGGGGCAAAAATCCTAGAATTCTTACTCAAACAGATCATGAACTAAGTTTTGCTGGACCAAGGACTGTAGGTTTCAAGCTCAATCTCAGAAGGGAACC